TACACCTATACCTATGCATGACACGATATTTACACGCACGTGCATGATATTATAACTGTTTCAAGATCTGCAAAGTTATTTAGAACAAAAGATGTGTGAATGGAAAATGGTGGGAAAAGAAATGGAGGAAAGTGAAAATTTGAATTAGTTCACTTTACTAATGCATTTTGTCCCTCATTTGGTAGAAGGAAAGAAAATCTTTGTGTATATATAGAGAAGCTCATCTTGTAGCTCTTAAAGAGTTAAGAAGAAGGCAAGCCTCGCGCCGCCACCGTCGTCGCTCGCTCGGCTCGGCTTCGGCTTCGGCTTCAGCTTCGGATTTGATTAATCTTTTTGGATAAAATTCTTTTCAAATATTTAATTAATTAATTACGAAAACTCAATCCGGAATAATCCATGACCCGCGACCTGGTCCGGCCGGTTTGTTTTCTTTCCCGGATTATTTTAAATTCATTTATTTTTCCCGCAATATTTTTCCACCTGTTCCAACAGCTGTGGTTGTTCTGAAAGGTTGCAAACCTTTTTAGAAACAGTGCCAAATGGGCTATAAATATTCCTTCAATACTGGAATTTTTACTTACGAAATTTTTGGATCTTCTTCCTCTTCTTCTGCACATAAAAATTCCAGTGTGTTTTACAACCTTCGAGTGGTTCGTTGTTCATCAGCGTTTTTTGTACCAACACTCCGGTGAGTTAAATCACTCTATCCTGGGAGAATATATTCCAGAACCTCGGGTACTTGAGTGGAATAATTTCCTTAAGGACACACTGTGTATTCAGTGGGCTCGATTTATTCCTATATTATTTTTCCAGAATTTATTTCGTTAAACTAGATCTACTTATTTTACTGTTTCTGATTTTATTTCAGAAAGTTTAACGTTTTATTTGTTTTACAGCAATACAGATTGGATAACAATCTTAAGGAAATTAATTTTATTATATTCTGTATTCTGTTTGTGGAGATTAAAATCTGTGTGATTTTCTACTCCGTCTGAATTTTACTATTCTGATTTG